AAGCTAGGCAGGATATCACGCTGCAAATTAAATGGTTATATATGGCAATGAGGCTGCTAGATGCACTAAGATACATATTAGGTATAACGTTCTGATATCCTGCAAACCCGCTGGTCCTACAGGTGCCAGATATCACAACTTTTACTGTATTTTTAATGAGATATGATAATACGTTTTTATGTTCTAGATGTGTGGTCCTTTTTAATATGATAACAATTGTCAGTGAGAAGTTGACAATAAAAAATAATTAAAAAATAGAAACATTTGAACTATCGATAATAATGAGCAGTCATTTATTTAGAAACATCTTCAGATAGACGTTCCATACAGTGTTCAGTGTGCAGGCAATACTAATATAAAGTATGATTTTATAAAGCCATTTAAAGTGTATGCTGTAGGGGACATGTATCTGAAAATGTGATTTCTGAACTCCAGCCAATTCCAGTTGACAAGTGAACGACTTGGAAAACTAAACTGGCATCACTGACATAACTACAAGAATCTATGCAACAGGGACTTAAGATTGCCTGGAGTGTTACACTGTGTTATCTGGTAGACATCACCATGTTTTAGAGGAACAAGCTGCGTCTGTCTTCAGGGTGGATGAGTTAGCTGGAACAGAAAAAAGTGGTACATTGATAAGCAAGACCTGGAGCAGCATCACAACACACATTTTTCAACGCTCAGCTTACCATTACATCCCGAGGATAAAGACAGCAGGTTCATTCAAAACACTGGTAAAATTCCACCAGATAGCACAGCGCCACATCCCAGAAGACAGTACAAGTCACCCATCTGAGAACCTGAAATCTCACTAAACAAAAATAGTCCTAATTCCCCATTCTCTGAAGGCATGAAACCAAGACTGGCCCAGAAGTTCCCTTTACTGTTGTGATCTGTACTAGTAATTTCTTCCATGAACGAGCAGGACATGAATTGTGAACATCCTCCAGTTTCTGAAAACTCTTTTTGTTTCAGAGCAAGTTCCTATATTCTGAAGATCTTTCTTCATGTCCTTACCACTCCCCACCCCTCAGCGGGTTCACATTCTGAACAAATGGTTCTTGCAGTCATGCACCACTTAAACCAATCACCTGTCTGATTTCACATGATCCAGACTGATGCATACTTAAGCAAAGACAGTAGGTACAGTGAGCACTGAACTTCTGTTGCAGACTCTGGATCATTGGCTTTCTGTATTGATTTTTATTTATGGTGTTTGCAGTGTATGTATATGTGGATGCCTCAGATAACAATGAGAATTTTCCAGAAGAGGTACGGTCCAAGTATGTTATTACTAGAGAGCTAGGTGCTGGAGCATGTGGAAAAGTGTATCTTGTATTTGAGAAGGTAAGCACACAAATATAGAAGTAGCTTTGTGTCTGGCATAGAAAAGGTACTGCACACAGACAAGGTGCAAAGCGAGCAGTACAGGGCTTGCGAATTCTGAATGGGGCAGTTTTAAATTTCACTGAACTGAAACAACCTTTCAGTATGCAGAGGCTCATAATCTATTCAAAACCATTTCCGTTTTACAGAATTTAACAAGAAGTCTCTTTGGTTTTATTGTCATTCCATTAAAATGTGCATTTCTCATTTCAGAATGTCAGAAAATGTATATAAAATGCTTCACAGAAATGTGGAAAATACTAACTAAATGTTACATTTGAAGGCTGATTGATGCATATCTTAGAATCTTATGGTAATGGTAGCAACACTCCTTCCTTTCTCAGGTTTCTGCTAAAATAAACGGTTGAAATAATTAAGTTTATATGTTCCAGCATCTTCTTTTTCTCTTTGGCACTACAGCCCCAATTTGGGCCTTGGACTAAATTTTTTTTAATTCACTTAGTGGGAGGTGGAATCCAACTGGGTCTACTCGTCATGACAGTCACCGATTGGCCTATTGTAGCCTGCCCCGGGTGATTATGATGATAGAGAATTTGGTGGAATGAAGATTGGCAGGGGAAACTGAAGTACTTGGAGAAAACCTGCCCCTGTGCCACTTTGTCCACCACAAATCTCACTTGACCAGACCCGGGATCGAACCCAGGCTGCCATGGTGGGATGCCAGCTATTAACCACTTGAGCTATGGCTCGGCCTGGGCCTTGGACTACCTCCATGAAACTCCATTTCACTTCGGTTTACCAGATCTTAGAAATTCGGTAGGACTCCTTGGGCGGGTGATCAGAAAAACACGTGCATGCATGCGTGCGCGCACACACACACACACACACACACAAACACTAAACATCCATCCCCTGAGTGGAATTCGAACCCATGATCCTGGTTTCCGAGCATCTTACAAACATGCATAACTTTTTTGTTCGCCAGTTTCTGTTATTTCCTACTGTGGCACCACATGGCAAACAGATCCTCTGTTCTTTTGTGTTGTCATGGGAATGACTGTTTAGTGACTTGCTACGTGGCAACTATTCGTTGTAATGGAAAATAGCCTCTGTTAACATTTGTTGCCAGAGAAACATGGATCACTGAGCCATTGTCTGGCAATGGACGTCTGCTCTGGCCCCACTTTTCTGCCTTCCAGCCATCATGCCACACTACTATATGAGAGGATTTCATACGATATGTTATTTTGCAGAAATCATGTGACCGATATGCTATGAAAGTTGTGCAGAAGAAATGTTTCGACAGCGCTGACAGACAGAACAGATGTAACTCAGACAAGACCATGAATGAGGTGAACATATTGAAAGCCCTCAAACACGTAAGTTAAACAAATATGTAGAGACATTCATTATTTCATCATAGTGTTATATTGATACTAATGAGGATGACATTTGCAGCCATGCATCATTCGAGTGGAACACATCGTGGACACACCTGATGCAATTTACATTGTTTTAGAGCTCATGGAGGGCGGTGAGCTATTCGATCGCATTCAGGATCGCAGACAACTGAAAGAGTCAGAGGCTAAACTAATTTTTTACCAGATTGCTCAAGCAGTCAAATACCTACATGATAATAAAATTACTCACAGAGATCTGAAGGTGAGTTAACTTGTGAAATACAATTTATAAGATTGTAAGAAAATAGCAAGTAATAAATGCAAGGATCAACATACGCTCTATAATGTATGAATGTAAACCAAAGAGTCAAATAGTCATGATTTATACAAGAGTGAATTTTAAAATTAAGTTTATATTGGGAATGAGGAAGCATGCAGAATTCTGTATGTGATACTGTGTAGTTCTGTAGGCAGGAATTGTCATTCCAGAGAAATGGGGAGAAGATGCAGCAGGCTGGTCACAAATCCTACTGTATTATGGTAAGGCATCCTGTTTGTGTCATGTGTATAATGGGGGCAGTCTACACAACAATATTCCTGAAAAACAAACATTTGTTTTATTTTGTTTTCCAGGAATATTGTTGTGTAGGCTGCCTCCACTATACAAATTATATATCCTATGTAGGTCATAGCAGCAAATTGTATCTATTATACTGACATACCAAGTGAGGAATAGTTGATTTGTAGGAATATTTGTCCTTGATGACAAATATTTATGAGCAGTTTTTCATTTTAGGTTAATTTATAGAGCTGAAAACTGTTAATCACAATGTGAACTCTTTAATGAAAATTTTATAGTAAATTGAGGAAAGACTGGAGAATTAGAAATATATTATTCATTTTCAATTTCATCATTACAGCAGGAATATTGGTGAAAGAGCGTAAGTTTCTAAAGTGCAAAATTTAGCTACTGAAATGTTAGCATGTCCTTACTTCTTGTACAGACGCCGGCTCTGGGGTCCACCCAACCACCTATCCAATTGGTACTGATGGCTCTTTCCCTGGGTCATGAAGCTGACCGCTCACCACCAGCTGGTGCCGAGGTCAAGAAAATGTGGATCTATATATCCACTCCACCATACGCTTTCATGGCATAGTGCTTAATTAGTTAAGCACAGGGATGACTTTACCTTACAGAAAGTTTCATATTCTTTTTTTCTAGCCTGAAAATATTCTGCTGTCAAGTGAGAAGCGAGAAACACTTATAAAAGTGTCTGACTTTGGCCTTTCGAAGTTTGTGAACTCACAAAGTATCATGAAGACTTTCTGTGGTACTCCGTTGTATGTTGCCCCAGAAGTGCTTGAAACCAAAGGGATGGGTTCCTATACTGCACAGGTTGACATCTGGAGTCTGGGCATCATTTTGTTCATTTGGTAGGTACAAATCAGGACTCAGAGGGGTGAGTCAGCAGACTTCAACCTTATTTGTTTGGAGCTACATTTGTACAGGTCACAGGAATCTGTTATTGACCAGTTTTCACCAGAATTTGGAAATATCAGATTGATTTGTGTTCATATAGAGGCTGACAACATATGCAGAAGCTGGTTGCTACTGGTCCCTGTAGTGGCTGGAAAGGAGGAACATCTTGGGTTGCAAGTGTTTATGTCGGAAGATGAATTTACCTTGTCATTGCCCATAGATTCCTTAAACCTGAGGATGTAGATTTGAAATTCACAAGATGTTCTTGACTCTTCAGTGGGAATGCCAAGACTGCATGCATAGCAGCAGTTACTGTTATGTCAGTAAGTCAGCATCCTGAGGCTGCGCCATAGCTCAAGCGGTTAGTCACTGGCTTCCCACCGCTGCAGCCCGGGTTCGATCCCGGGTCTGGTCAAGTGGGATTTGTGGTGGACAAAGTGGCACTGGGGCAGGTTTTCTCCAAGTACTTCGGTTTCCCCTGCCAATCTTCATTCCACCAGTTGCTCCACAATCACCCTCACCTGTCATCTGGGGCTGGTACAATAGGCCAGAAGTGGCCACAGTACAAGGGACTTAGTCCCACCCCACTAGCATTAAAAAAAATTAAGACAGCATTGCAGCTGAGATTTGAACCTGGCACCTATTGAGCCAGCTTCCTTGGTAGCAGCAACTGAAAGAGACTTTACTGTCCAGGTGTGGGCAGTGTTGCAGGCATTTCAGAGATACATGGCAGGTCTCTAAAGATGCGTGTGCCAGGGCCCCACACTTGAATCTGGCATAACAGGCTATGGAAATAACATTCGACAACAGATTAAATGTCTTGTGCAGTTTGTAAAACAAAATCATATTAGAAACGCAAGCAAGATCACAGCCAAAGCAACTTCATTATACAACAGTCAGGCCTCAGTACTGAAGACAGGGAACACCAGAATACTGGAAGCATTCCAGATAGGTTTCTGGATTTAGTCATGGTAAGTCAGACAACAGGAATGTATGAACACTGTCAGTGAAACTGAGGACTGTGAAAACAGTTGGCTACAGCATATATAGAGAATAAGCGAAAGTGCTCACTCTTTCATCAGGACATAGTTGTTTTCCTTGTCATTGTCATAGTTTACAAGCAGCTGAGATTTCATAAAGTATGAATAATCCTAAAATTAAAAAACCGAGTTTATTTATATAATTAAAAGGAAAGATTGGGAGTGAGGAATGAAATCATGTCCAAAAACTCTACCTCGGCCCTTGCACATCACTTTGACAGCCATGGCTACTGCACAAGTTGGCAAGAGTATGCAGTAAATTTCATGATTTCTTCCTGTGTTCTCTGTTAGTTCTGCATTACGAAACAAAACGGACAGAAATCTGCAGGACAGTTATGTTTGTATATAAGATGAAGACAAAGGGGTCACCAAAGCCGGCACTGTTGAGACGAGATCCTGCATGTCTGAAGAACAGAAGGCAGTGAAGTCTGTCTTGCATAATTCATGATTGGAGATAACAATGTAATGATGGTGATGATGTAAATGTTGAACTAATGTGGGATACATTCTCTTCAAGGTGTCAGTATTTATCCTAAATGTTGTTAATTTTCATCTCTGTAATAATGTGAATATGCTTTTGATTATACAGTTTGAGTGGCTACCCCCCGTTTTCAGCTGAATACCAGTCATTACCACTCAACGAACAGATCATGAGAGGAGCGTATTCATTTCAGAGGCGATACTGGCGTGGTGTGTCACCTGATGCCATCGATCTGATCAGAAAGATGCTGACAGTTGATCCAAAGAACAGAGTCACAGTTGATGAGGTTCTTTGTCACAGATGGTTAGAGGTAAAGTGGCAGTAAATTATGGGAACCTGAAATCGTAATCTTGCTGTTTATTGCCTCACTTTTTCTATGTGTTTCTTCTACTTTCTGTATTTGTAAGGAGTAATACCCCAGGTTTTAAATGGATGACAACACTTAATTGAATGATGTACTTATTTTAAACTGTAAAATTAAAAAAGTAAAGTTATCCCTGTACCAGGCCATGAAGGCCCATAGGGTTGTGAGACGTTGAGGGCCCCACATAATCTAGACAATCGGCTCAAAGATGGCAGTAAGATTGTCAGCCTTATGCGCTGGCCATGCTTTACTCCCCAGGAAAATTATTTAATTAATTCCTGGTACTCATTTATGTTAGAGGCTGAGTGAACCCCAGGGCCATAGTGCGGCTGGAAGGATAAGGTCAATTGAAAAAATCCAGTGACCTCATTGGGACTTGAACCCGCGACCTTCCGGCTTGTAGCATAGTCCTTCAACCAACTACACTACCGTATGCCCCCATTTTAAACTCTGCAAAATTGAAATTGAAATGGCTAAACATGAAATAGGCAGAGCCTTGCTTAAACAATGGTAGAATGATGGAAACTTGTATATTCCTTTTTGTCTTATACAGGATAAATGGCTGGAGGAGACATTTCAAGAGCTAATCAAGGAGGAGCAGATGGCCAGTCAGGGTGGAGTCCCTGTTGACGAACATTCTCCACCTCGAAAACAGCTCAGGCTAGATGGAGAAGACACACATACAGTCTGAAGTCTGAGCTGTGAAACCAAATACTGTTTACCGGTGCTCAACAGATCTGAAAGTAGTTGCAAAATATAATACCTCATCTGTAAAGTACAAGTTTAAGTTACATCATGTGAGAATGGAGGCCTTTATACTTAAGTTACTCTATATATACGTATACTTCACTAAACACTTCTCAGCACATTCATTGCCATTAAAATAGGATTCTCTCACTGTTGGAAATTGTATTAATTTTTCTGAATCTGTGTTTGAAGTACTTTCTCATGGTTTTTCTATACCCTTGTAGGCCACCACCATGTGTTGCCACTTTCTATAACGCATTTTAAACGGAACTCAGACCTGTGTATCAATACATAGCTGGCAGTGAGCATGCTAAGAAGTGTCATTGTATTACCAGCATGTACCTGGACTGTTAACGGTGTGCGGCACGTTCACGTTATGTTTGTGTTACTTTTTGGAATCAGTATTGAGCTAAAAGATGTGGAAGGTGTGTCATAGTAGTGAAGATTTAGACAAACACCGGTGCATTTAAGGCACTCCTACCATATACAGTTCCTGAAGCATTTGATTTTTAAATACTGCAATTTTTTAAAACTTTTCTTTTGATAGTTGATATTAGGTTAGAACAGGAAGTGCATTGCAGAGGAGATGTAAGCAAGAGACGCCCTACATCGTGTCCTCTCTTCCTGTATTTTGTTAAAGTTTATTGAGATGTATATTGGTATTGTAAGTGATGCCAGAGAAATTCTGTCATCGATGTAGTTGATGTGATCTGTTATAAATGGAAATGTAGACAAGTGATGTCCATCCTATCGTCTTTACATGCTGAATTTTCCCAAGAATTTTCTGCTTCACAGGCAGAAGAATACTGAAGGAAATCTTGGAAAACACTTAACTGACAATTGTAATGGCAAAATAATTCCACTGGCCTCAGTGCGCAGATTATTCTAAAATCTATATTCCTGTGAGTTGTTATAAAATTACACATCAGAGTCCAGAAATTCAACAGTTCTTAGAAGTACTATTTGAAGGATGATTGCATTGTGTTTTATTTTATATTTAAAACATTTTGAATGTCCTGAAATTCATAGTTTTGAATTAAAGACAATATAAAGGAATAAACTTCCCCATACTAATTGCTCAGCGTTTAATAGTTAGGAGAGTACAAAATATTGGGAGAGTGATAATGGGTTTCAAGCTGATAGTTTGCTGAGTCTGAGTACACAGGTAATAATTCTGTGGAAGAATCCAATACAGAATGGCTTCCCTTTGGTGAACTGCTACATTAAAAAGAGCTTGTTCTCTGTAGCAAGGGGTATAATTATTATGTAGCTTTTCACAGCTCTCTCATATCTGTTCTGTACTCTGTCGCTAATATGGTGGTTAACACCATGCATGTGATACGGTGATATGTAAAGAGAAATTTCATGAGAGTTCAGTGATTTATGTACTGGGTGTTTATTTAGTTTCATAATGCCTTGGCCATCATTACTATTGTTCCTGTAGCAGCACATTTTGCTTTCTGAATATTAATGACATATGCTTCTACACATGTCCTATGGTTAGTTGCATGTTACAGTTTTATGCACATTTCTTATATAAGCTTTCATATTATTTATGCATTTTTTTTCTAAGTAACCATCATGTATATG